CTAAAATATCTTTTAACACTTAGATTTAACTGTTAGAGAGAAACCCCAGAGCATCCCATTATTAAAAACCATATTTTTCAAAGGCACAATTCAGAGTCCTTCAGCCTTCATTTTTTCTTTTCTTGTCTTTTCCCCAGTTTATATGGACTTTTAGGGGCAGCCACCCCTTTTTCAGAAAGAGAGTCCTCTCCAGAAGACCCCGAGTCCAGCTCACCACTGGACTTACTGTCCTTCTCCTCTTTATCCACCTCCTCTGGCTCACCCAACTGGATTCTCAAAAAGTCCCATGCTTTGGAAACAGAGTCAATCTTTTCTTTTTTATCCTGAAGTTTGAAGGTTACGCCCTCTGGATATAACCACCTGTAGCTAATTGCACTTGTTTGAAGAAAAATAATTAAATCTTTATATTTCTTTCTCCTCTGTCTTATTTCAAATGGGATGTCTTTCAGAATCCTGATGTACTGTCCCCAGTTTTCAAGGGTGTCCCCGCCATTGCTCTCAGGATAGAATCCCTCACATGCCTCTTCGAGAATCTCATTACTATTTCCCCAGGCAGATTCTTCTTCTTTTTGTATACAGAATAGTACCTGTAGGCCACATCCATTTCGCTCATGAGATACTCTGCCTTCAAATCTGTCACTGGGGCTAATGCATTGCTCATCACTTGCTTCAGATTCTCTCCTTTAAATTCTGGGACCCCTTGAAACTGTAGGACCAAATTTGCTTTATCCATTTGTAGCTGTAAGAACTTTGACTCTTCCGTAGCTTGCTTCATTTCCAGCTTTTGCACCTTTTTCTTAACTTTTTTAGTAGTGACGTCCATTTCCTTCACCTTCTCTCCCATTTGCTCTGTTGCTTTTAAGGATTGAGTCAGTTGCATCTGTTGCACTGCCACACTCTGACCGATTGTTGACGGTTGTTGTTTAATGCCAGTGATCTCATCCAGCAGGGGGCACAGGGAGTCAGCCAAGAGTTTTGAGAGCTCAGTGACCTCATCCGTTCGAGGACTGCCCCCTAGTTTCGGTTTCAACAGCTTCTCTTTCTCCGTTTTCTTCCCCGCCATCTTTTTGGATTTATTTACTTTTCAAAAAAGTTGCTAAAATCTCTGATATTCGCCCAAACGCTTCTCTGCACTCTGGTAAGTCTCTTAAAACAGTTTTAGTCGCTTATTTTTCCGATCCCCCCTCTTTCCGTCCGTGTTCCGTCGCTCTTGGGGGGGGGGCAGCTTTTTTTATATCTTCATGCTCGCTTCAACCTGACTCACAGTTTGTTGTTGACCATTCGGCCCCTCTCGTCATTGTTTATTTTGCCCGATCTCCAACGCTTGTCCCAGTCAGCAGCACTCGTACCATGTGGTCACTCAGCGGCAGGACCTTCGGGGCGGAGGGACGCCTCAATTCTCTGGCATTTGGCCATTGAAGAGGTCGCCTCTCAAAAGCCCCCTGGCTGGGAGCCTTTTACCAAGGCTCCGGGGAGGTCGCAACCCGTCGGACCCCCTCCCATATGCTGGTGTGCAGTTTACATCCCCGGGACGTCCGGGAGATGTGTCTGCCTGCGTGTCGCCATAAACCGGAAGCCTTACTGGTTCTTCTTTATAGGTATAAAGCAAGGTAACTTCGTTGCCAGTTAACATTGGCATCTGAGACCAGCCATGTCTTCCTCCGCCTTCTTAAGTAAAGTGGGTGGCAACCAGAGACGGGGCCTTCTGTGTGGCAGCAGCTGGAGCCAGTTTTAATGATTTAGGTGCCTGGTGAAACACTTTATATTCTCCCAGGTGTATTGTTAATTGCATAGTGTGATTAGATCCCCACCTTTTACTGTTCGTTCTCGCTAATGTTGATACTGTCGTTTTTATGCTGCTCATTTCATTGATAACTGCTTTTAGTGATTTTTATAAAGTATTTTTATGTTTTGTTGTATTGTAAGCCATTTGGAGCATTTCTTTTTGAACAAGTGACTATTAAGGCAATCCTAAACAGAGTTATACCCGTCTAAGCCCACTGACTTCAATGGACTTGGAAGAATTTAACTCTATTTAGGATTGTACCGTAAGTATTCTAAATAGCACTAGTAATAAGTATTTTTAACCTTAATGTGCAGGCATGTTTGCCGTTTTAATTTGTCCTGTTAAAATATTTCGATACTCCTTTTTTCAGTGTGAAATTCCAGATGGATCAAGAAAAATGTGTACCATGCCTCTCTCACTTTCTCACTATTTTGGACAAGCATTTCTTTCTTGTGTCTTTGGGTTTAGGGCTTCAGGCCTGTCAGTTGGCGATAAGTACAAGAACGGTTTGGGCCCGCTGTCCTAATGGGGATGTGGCACGAAGGTATGGCATCACAGATAAAAATCCAGCAGGAGACTATTGGAAGAAGATTCCAGGAAATGTTTCTTGTTTGACAGGTAAGTGGTTCCTTTGACTTGCCCACTAGCCTTCTGGGGCTTGTACCAGGCAACATTTATAAGCCTTTCTTCCCCCTAAAATTGGGATGCAAAGCCGGAGATTTCCTAGAAACTTTAAAAGAGGAAGTAGGATGGACAATGTGGGTAGTGGTTTAAAGTGTCAGGCTAGGGCTTTGGAGAGCTGGGTTCAAGGGTTCAAATGTCCACTCAGCCCTGAAGCCCATTGGGTGACTGTGAGTCAGCTGCTGTTTCTTAGCCTAACCTACCTCGCAGGGAGGCTGTAAGGAAGGAGGATGGGATGACCTTTTGCCTGAGATCCTTAGAAGAATGGTATGATGAAATGTGACAGATAGTGCTTCCACTTACTATTTCCCCAGTAGGCAGGGGTCCGCCGTCTCGAACTTTCAGAGCAGGTTCGTGCTATTGTGTACGGTGCAGAAAGCTGGGGTTTAAAGGGATTCTGAGTCCCTTTAAACAAGGTTTGCAGGGCCACAAACTGAACCAACTAGTTCGGTTCGTGAATGGGCGGTTCAGTTTGTGTTCTGTTTGTGGCGCACCACAAACCAAACCACATTTTCGTAGTTCATGCCCATCCCTACTTGTATTTATATTAGCCCGTTTATATATCTTAATTATTTACTTCATTTATACCCCATCTTTCCCCCAAAAGCAGTTTACATCATTCTCCTCTCCTCTCCTCTATTTTAATCTTCACAACCACTACCCCGTGAGGTAGGTTTTAGTCTAAGAGCATTTGACTGACCCAAGGTCACCCAGCAAGCTTCCATGACAGAGCAGAGATTCGAACCTGGGTCTCCCAGATCCTAATCCATTGCTCCAATTGCTACACCACACTGGCTCTTGATGCTTATTTGTTGCAGGGGCTGTAAGCGGAAGTTTCCCACCCGGGCCAGTTACAAGTCCAGGCCTGCTTGGCTCCAGTCAGCAAAACTGCATCGTGCACCTCTGGCCTTTTCTTGTATATTAACAAAGTGTGCTCCAGTTTCATGCCCAGTCTCTCATCTTCTTGTGTCATCAAAGGATAAGGAGGTTGTTCAACAGAAGCAGCTCCCTAGAGGCAAATGGTTTCAAAGCATTACTTGTGTTGGCATATCCTTCTGGGTAATGAGCGTGTGTGGGGTGTTCAGTAAATACAAGTTACCCTGTAGGTTTTACTCTGCCGAGGGTTCACTCAAGAAAGGGAGGGAGAGGATCAAAACAGTCCCCATCATCACAACATAAGAAGAGCCCATTGGTCCATCTAGTCCAGCATCCTGTCTCACACAATGGCGTGTTCCTCTAGAGGTCCATCAACAGGACATAGAGGCCGAGGCCTTCCCCTGATGTTGCCTCCTGGCTCTGGGATTCAGAGGTTGACTGCCTCTGAATATGGAGATTCCCCTCAGTCACCATGGCTAGTAGCCACTGATAGACCTCTCCTCCATGAATCTATCTAATCTCCTTTTAAAGCTCTCTATGCCTGTGACCATCACTACATTCCACATTTTCGTCACTCACTGTGTAAAGAAATATTTCCCCTCTGTCCATCCTGAATCTACTGCCTAGAGCCAGTTTGGTGTAGTGGTTAAGTGTGCGGACTCTAATCTGGGAGAACCGGTTTGATTCCCCACTCCTCCACTTGCACCTGCTGATGTGACCTTGGGTCAGTCACAAGCTCTGGCACAGCTGTCCTTGAAAAAGAGCAGTTTCTATCAGAGCTCTCTCAGCCCCACCCACCTCACAGGGTGTCTGTTGTGGGGAGGGGAAGGGAAAGGAGTTTGTAAGCCGCTCTGAGACACCTTCAGGTAGTGAAGGGCGGGGTAGAAATCCAATCTCTTCTCTCCATTGGATGCCCTCGAGTTTTATAATTTTGGGAGAGGGAGAAAAAGTTCTCTTTGTCAGCTCTCTCTACCCCATGCATAATTTTATAAACCTCTATCACGTCCCCCCCCCCCTTAGTCATCTCTTCTAAGGTTACCTGCACAGAAAAATTAGGACCAGACCGGAAGAAGGGGGTTGGGATGGCCGGCTGCTGGCTCCCATCCCTCTCAGCTCATGTGTTAATTAGGCCTCATTCAGATGGTGCAGCGGTTAGAGTTTCAGGCTCTGAAATGGGAAACCCAGGCTCCAGTCCCCATTCTGCCAGCTCGCTGGGTGACCTTGAACCAATCACTCCCCTCCTTAGCCTTGTGGTCTGGTGGTTATGGGGACAAGATGAAAGAGGGGGAGAACAATGTTGTAATCCGGTTTGGGGAGGAAAAGCAGGGTATAAATATCTAGATGATACGAGGAGCCAAAACGCCAGTACAGATATCCAAGTGATATTAGCAACCCGATGCCACCCCAGACTGCCCTTTGAGTGGGACAGCAACAACTTAACCTTTCCGCTCGGCTTTCTCGTTTATGTGTTTTGCTGGGAAGCGGGCTAATCTTGATGGTAAGGGAAGGCAGGCTCCTCAGCCCGCCTTCTTGTTAACGATCGGCATTCTGAAGCCGTGTTTCCCAATCTGTTGTGCGGGACCCAGAAGTGGGTCGCGAAGCCTCTGAAAGTGGGATGCAGGCCAGCCCTCCCTCACGGCCACTCCTGCCCCCTTGCATCGCTCTTTCTCTCCTGACCTCCTTGTCAACATCTCACATTCTCGCTTTCCCACCTCCCTTTTTGACAATGTGTGTGTGGGGGGGGGGATTTGTCCAGGAGCTAGTAAAAATTTATGGTAGTAGCCGGAAAGGGGGGGGGATTGGAATGCCACTTGCTTGGGGGCAACTCTGCACCCTTTGTGCCACATTTGTGGGCTTCTGAGCAACATCTGGTCGGCCACTGTAGACCATGGAGTGCTGGATTAGATGAGTGACAAGGTCATAGTTCGCCTGGGGTGCCAAAAATACCCTGGGCTGTAAATTTGTGCTTGCGGGTCACCAGACCAAAAAACTTGGGAACCACTGTTCTGAAGGAATCTGGTGACTTCTTTGGTGAGGGTGGGTAGCCGTGTTGGTCTGTCTGTAGCAGTAGTAAAAAGAGCAAGAGTTCAGTAGCACCTTAAAGACAGGATCTGTGGCAGGGTAGGAGCTTTTGTGAGTCACTGCTCACGTCTTCCATTCCATTCTGAAGAAGCGAGCGGAGTGAACCACGAAAGCTCCTCCCCTGCTGCAAATTCTGTTAGTCTTTAAGGTGCTCCTGGACTCTTGCTCTTCTCCACTGGCAACTTCTTTTTTTTGTTCCTTCTCTTGTTAGCTGCTCCTCTCGATGAACTGTGGGCCACGGGTGCTTCAGGACAGCTCCTTCAGCGTCTCACAAAGAACTTCCACCACTCCCCCTCCATGCAGAAACACGGGGACGCGTCTGTATCGTTTCACTCCGACGACTTTGAAGACGAGTGGGAAGTCATATGAGGTCGTCAGAGGAGCTGTAAAATAGCTCGGAAATGTGCTTGGAGGTCCTGTTACATGCCGGAATGTCAGGCTTTTAAAGCCGCTCACATTTTGACAATATTCGCACTTTGGTATTAAAAAAGAAAAGAGAACTGACCTGTCCAAAAATTGTGTAGTGAGGTGTCTTGTTACAACATCTCTCAGGCGAGATGGACAACGTGGCTTAAAAAGTTGTCAACGTGTCTTATTGTAGCCATTCTATTTTGAAATATAACTTATAAATTAACCTCATTAACAGCAAAACTATTTTGCTATAGCATGCACACTCATATGTATTATGATAGGAAGGGCTCCTGTGGTTACATTAAATGTTTCTCAACAGCAGAATACATTTTTCTTCTTGTTGAATTTAAAACTCCAAGTAGAAGAAGGTGGGTACAAATGGGATGCAGACCATAGAGGACCTTGTTGTTTGCAAAAAGTAACAAAATGTGGAGGTAACTTTTTGGGGGTTGAAGGTCAAATTCAGTTTCGTGATGTAATTTGGTACTAAGCTGAAGATCTTTTGGGAAGTGCGCTCCATGTAACTTCCAGGACTCTGGTGAATTTTGCTTTGTTGTGACATGGGTTAAAAACCTTCATTTCAAGCGTTGCCTAAAAGCTTGGACCTTGGTTCCCCCGCACGAGTACAAGAAATGTTTCTTCCACGGGCATCCAGGAATGGACGAACCTGACCGTTGTTGGTTAGACTTGTAAAACAAGAGTGCCTCTGTGGGTTGTGTGAATCCCTTGGCCCAACTGAACTGTGCCTCGAACTAGAGTAGACTTCCTTTCTTGTAAAATAATTAAGAATGAAAAACAAGAAGCGGCGTAAAAGAAATATATTTATCCCAGAGGGAGAGTCTGTGGTAATAGTCACAATATATGTCTTCACAGTGGTGGACTTTGGCTAAATTAGCTAAATCTTGCGCAATGTCTTACCTAATTTGAGATGTTTACAGCAGAAGTGCAAAACTTTGTTGGTTTGTTAATCACGGCAGCTCATAGTTTATGAAAGCTAATTTTCTTAAGAACAGAACTGAAGGTCAAAAGGACTTGTTCAGTGGCTTAGACAGAAAGGCCGCGGTAGCATTTGGTTTCTGTTTTTAAAATACCTAACCAAATTAACCTCAGTGTCTTTTAGAATGTCTAAACAGCTGCTGAAGAATCTGCAAATGAGCCAACTTCCAGGGGGGGGGTTGGGGGGGAGCATGAGAACCTGGTACCAGTTCTGTACCAGCCACTCCCTCCACCCTCGTTAATTACTACTTTGGGGGCGGGATTTACATAGGAGAAACAGCACAGGGGGAAAAGGTTGAGTCTCCTTCCCCACGACACACACTACCCCGATTTTCAGAGCAGATGTTGGGGCTTGCAAAAGACAGGAAATTTTCCTTATACCATTTAGTTTCGGCCCCTAGTGTGGAGCAAAAGGAACAAGTGTTTCTTCCTCATTGAGAAAAGCAGGAATAGTGGGAACCACAGCTCCTCAGAGTACCGAGAATTCCCTTTGTGGCTGTGCATCCCAGTTTTTGAAGCAGGACTTGCATTAGTAACACTTGGTTACTGCTGGGTTTCCCACTCTTTCAGCAGTTCATCGTGAACTTGGAGGTCATATTTGTTTCCCGCTGAGAGCCGATATGTTTTGCTCAATCTCTTCCTCCTCTATATAAGGAATCGGTCTCGCAAGAGTTTCTTTTTCTTTTTTAGTCTATCACTGGGTAGTAAGAGGCTATTGATGTTTACTTGGTTCCAATGGGTGGACTGTTTCGAGGAGCCCCCGTGGGAAGCAGATCTTCAAAGAAGTGTTCCGATATTGAGGACTTTGGAAGAATAGGGGCGAAATGGCCAACACGCCCACCTGGCCAAGAACCAGATGCTCACCTGCAGTGCTGAAGAATGACATTTTTATGGGTATTACACTTGGGGGGGAAAGCCCTCTTGGTCATGGCTTGAGCTTGCTAGCTGTTCATGCTCCGTACAGTAAATCCACGTTGCTTTCTTGATGAATATTAACTGGTGTTGACACAGCCCTTCTCAGTCCATGGGACTTTTTGTATAGTCTCACCTAACCATCATAAACATTTTTCCATCCTTAGTTTCACTTCTGTACGCTTGTGTTTCTTTTGTGCTTTCAGACAAGTGCAATAAACTACTCTTTTTCTTAAAAATAATCTGTAGTTTGGCTGCTTAATTTTAAAATAACATTTCTAACTAAGGCAGGATGTGTATCATAATTAAAAACTCCCACTGATGTTAAAAGAAATACTGAGGACACCCCCAATGCTCCCTCTAAGCTGTGGAGTCTTGTGAGCAAAAATTCTACTTTGTGGGCTCTTGGCATTAAAGTTGTGAGTGAGCGACTTGGCTACTGCATAAATTGGTTTGCTCTGGAGCCCTCCTTTCTGAGTGAAGACAAAAATATGTGAGCCGGAGGCTAAAAAACTATGTCAGCTTAGAGGGAACACTGGACACCCCTCCGCCAGCTACCCCGTAAGAACATAAGAACATAAGAGATGCCAGTGTTGGATCAGACCAAAGGTCCATCCAGTCCAACACTCTGTATCACACAGTGGCCAGAAATACCAGGTGCCATCAGGAGGTCCACCAGTGGGGCCAGGACTGTTGACCCCCCCCCCCAAGCGCCAAGATGACAGAGCATCACTTGCCCCAGAGTCCCTATCTATACCTTGTGGCTAATAGCCACTGATGAACCTCTGCTCCATATGCTTATCCAATTCCCTTTTGCAGCCGTCCATGCTTGTAGCCGCCACCACCTCCTGTGGCAGTGAATTCCATGTGTGAATCACTCTTTGGGTGAAGAAGTACTTCCTTTTATCCGTTCTAACCCGACCGCTCAGCAATTTCATGGAGTGCCCACGAGTTCTTGTATTGTGAGAAAGGGAGAAAAGTGCCTCTTTCTCTACCTGCTCTTTCCCATGCTTCATCTTGTAAACCTCAATCATGTCACCCCTCAGTCGTCGTTTCTCCAAGCTAAAGAGCCCTAAGCGCCTTAACCTTTCCTCATACCCCAAAACACAGATTGGCAACATATGGCACTGGGTGTGGACCAGGCACTCTTACCAGACTCTTGAGCATTCTAGCTTTTTGGTTCAGTTAGACAATAACATTTCCAGAGCCCACATTACTACAGAGATACTTTTGAAACTGCAGCTTAAAAATGTCCACCTTGGGGATCCAGGAAGATACAAAGAATTCCTTCTTGCATGCTTTTGAAGTTGTGTGTCCCCTCCTGGAGAAGTGGAGCATATCCTAGGGCAGTGTTTCCCAGCCTGTGTGTCAGGACCCCAAAGTGAGTCATGAAGCCTCAGAAAGTGGATCACAGACGACCCTTCCTTAAAGGCAGCTCCTGAGCTGTGCATCATTCTCCCCCCCCCCCCCCGGCCTCCTTGTCATCATCTCAGATTCTCGCCTCCCGCCTCCCTTCATAATAATTAGGTATGAAATCTGTCCTGCAACTATTAACTTCAGGGTAGTAGCTGGAAGGAGGGGGAAATTGAATGCCACTTGCCTGGGGGCAGCTGCACCTTTTCTGTGATGTTCGTGGGTTTCTCAACGTCTAGTTGACCACTGGACTAGATGGGCAACAAGGTCATAGTTTGCCTCAGGTGCCAAAAAAACTGGGGTTGGCCCTGGATGAGTCACAAGTAAATTTGTACTTGTGGGTCACCATTAAAAAAAAGCCTGAAAACCACTGTTCTAGAAGAGGAGGAGGAGGAGGCGATTGGATTTATTTTACTTTTCACTTAACATCTTTTTTTATCAACAAAGGTTTATTCAAGGTTTTCAACATGTAACAGTACAAGAATATAACAACAATATGATGAGAAGAGCAAAAGGAATAACAACGAACATTAGTTAACATTATCTAAATACTTAAGGAGGTATCATTATGCTCATTAACGTAACTTCTATCTTGCTGCTAACTACAGTTCATTGATGGGTTAGTAGCTTTAGCCTATATGTTACTTTAAACAATTCTATTTTCAGAAACAAAGCCAGTATTTATCATTAGCAAAAGAGGGAACCACTTCCTTTTCTGAGAGAAACTGAATTGGATTTATACACCACCCTTCACTACCCAAAGGAGTCTCAGAAGCCTGAAAACCATTGTTCTAGAAGAAGAGGGGGAGATTGGATTTATACCCTGCCCTTCACTACCCAAAGGAGTCTCAGAGTGGCTTACAATCACCCTTCCCCTCCCCACAACAGACACCCTGTGAGGTAGGTGGGACTGGGAGAGCTCTTTCGAGAACTGCCCTTGAGAGAACAGCTCTGAGAGAACTTGTGACTGACCCAAGGTCACACCAGCAGCTGCATGTGGAGAAGTGGGGAATCAAACCCAGCTTTCCCATATTAGAGTCCACACCCAACAAGAGTAAACTCGGCTTGACTGCTGATAGCAATAGAGCTCCAGCTCCTATTGCGTACCGAGGCCTGGTTCACACATGCAGGAGAATCAAGTGGTAATTGAGGTGGCGGAGTGGAGGTACATCGTGTTCCTTTGCTTAAAATCTTCATGCAGACCCAGCACAGCAAGGCAGGGGCAGGATTCCACTATCACTGCTGGCTTGCTGTGCTGGTCTTCTGTTTGCCTTTAACAAAAGGAAGCATTCCCCAAAATGTGATCCGCTACCTGCAATCTGAAGGGATGCCATCCATTCTGTGACCACACTGCCCTGCATGTGTGAACTAGCCTTGAATGCACACCCTGCAACAGACCACAGGATCCACAAAAGGTTCATGAAGGTTCTGCAGCGTAAAAGTTTCCACGTGAACCGGTCTGACAGAATGAAGATGGAACAAAACACTGATCCAACCTGTTCTGTGATTGGACGTGGCAAAGGAACGAAAGCAATAAAAGGCAGGGGGTTCTTTTATGATCCCCAGCTATCTTTGCATGAGAAGAAGAAGAGATTGGATTTATACCCCACCCTTCACTACCCAAAAGAGTCTCAGAGTGGCTTACAAACTCCTTTCCCTTCCCCTCCCCACAACAGACACCCTGTGAGGTGGGTGGGGCCAAGAGAGCTCTTTTGAGAACTGCTCTTGAGAGAACAGCTCTGACAGAACTATGGCTTGCCCAAGGTCATCCAGCAGCTGCATGTGGAGGAGTGGGGAATCAAACCCAGTTCTCCGAGATTAGAGTCCACACACTTAACCATTACACTACACCAAACTGGCACGGAGTATACAAGTTCAGTTTATTGTTGATTTGATGACTTGATTTTTACAATGCCATGTGAACAAGCAGCATAGCACTGTGCCATTTTACACATGTTCAGTTTTCCTCGCAATCTTATCGTGTGGACAAAATTTGATAATTTTTAAAGAAATTAGAATATTTAAGTTTTTAAAAAGAAAATTAGCTGATACCACTAGCTAAATGTATCCAAAATGCCATATTATATATGTCCGCATCATTCCTACAAGTTTAAAACCCCAGTTTCTTTTGTGGAGTCCCCCAAAGTCTGTTTTGAATCCAATAAGTTTAATGTGTTCTCTTACAAGTAAAGGTTTTCCTTGCTCGAAAGCCAGTCAAATACAACTCTACAGTTCAGCATCTTAACCTCTGAGCCATCGTGATTCAGTCCCCTTTGGCAGGGAAGTATGTTTCTATCCTAAGAGTTACAGCTTACAGTCAATTTCAGAGAGTAGTCATGTCGGTCTTCAGTACAAGAGCTAGATCCGAGTTCAGTAGCACCTTATGGACCAAAAAGAATTCTAGGGCATAAAGCTTTCGAGAGTCAACACTCCAGACAAAGGCACCTGATGAAGGAAGCGTTGACTCCCAAAGCTTTACATCTTAGAACAGGGACGTCAAACTCATTTGTTATGATAGCTGGGTCTGAGGTAAATGAGACCTTGTTGGGCCGGGCCATGTGTGTCATAAAATGTAATGCCAGTAGCGGAGATATAAACTTTATAAAGGACACAAACACAAAGGGTTTTTTCCACTTCAAATAAAAACGTGCTTAAAACATTAGCACTCTTGCTATTTATTTAACAGTGTCTCATAACTGACACCTCTTGCTCTGAATTATTGCATCAAAATGTCTGTGCTGTTGCAATCTTGAGTATGCTGTTCAGGTGTGTGTCTGTAAGCTGCAAACCTGCGATGACGCAGCAGCAGCAGAATTGGAAGTAGAAGCAGAAGACAGCCAGTTCCACTGCGGGCCTGATACAAGCCCTCCAGGGGCCTTTTCCGGCTCCCGGGCCGCATGTTTGACACCCCTGCCTTAGAAGCCTTCTTGGTCTCTAAGATGCTACTGGACTCAATTCCAACTATAATCAGGTAGATATAGAGATGACACCTATAGAGATGACACCTTCTTGTATACATGTGTGTATATGTAGGGGATCTTTGCTAAGAACCAAGATCTGACCAGTGTTCCCTCTAAGCTGAGTGTGAGCTAGCTCACAGTTTTTTAGCCTCCAGCTCACAGATTTTTGTCTCAGCTCAGGAAAGATGGCTCCTGAGCAAACTAATTTATGCAGTAGCCAAATCGCTCGCTCACAACTTTAATGCCAGTAGCTCACAAAGAAAATTTTTTACTCACAAGACTCCACAGCTTAGAGGGAGCATTGAATCTGACTGCTGGGAATGATTGAAAACAGGTGAATTCTAGCAATATGACAAAGGGGAGGGAGCAAGAGGGTTTAGCAGTGAATTGAACGGGAGAAAGAGTAACTTGGTGCCTGAAGTGCCATTGATCTCTTACGCGTGATTAATAATGGCAGCCTCATTAATTTCTAATGAACCCCATCCTGCTGCTACTAAAACTATAATGTGAATTAATAATGATTCAAACTGACTCCCAGCCATGTATCACATTCCTCTTAAGCTCAGAGGTTGGAGGAACAGAGTTTTTTTTATTGCAGGCAAAGAACAAATTCTTCTCAAATACTGAGGGGAGGACTTCACAGGCTGTTGAAAATTCATGTTAAGTTGAACAGACATACAGTCCCTCTGCTTCCTTGAGACGCATTTCAAGAAGCAAGACGAGCATATTTGTTCTTGTTTATAGTGATGCAACATAAAATTAATACTTATCTACTCTGAGCCTACGGGGAGGGCGGGATAAAAA